TGGAATACTTTCATCATTTCTATTAGAAAAAATACTCAAAATTGATCTAATTAACGTTTCTTTATTTGATTGCTTCTTTTAGTGAAACAATATTTGAATCTCGGTAATAGTTTCTTTAGCTATAGTAAAATGTGAATAGGTTGTTAACAATAAGGTCATTATACTATTACTAAACTTGTTGAAAAGATGAAATATAACCAAGAAATATCTTTTTTATCGAAGTTGAATCAATCATCGAAAAAGAATTAGGCCAAAAGTTAGGATACATTCGGAAAAATAAAACTTCCATCGAAGAGAAGCAAATGAAAGGTTTTCAAAATAATTCTCATACCAATTTGTATTTTAAGATCTTTTGAGTCTTCCTATTAAAAAAATTCCATTAGGAAGTGATGATGTGAATTTTTTTCTTTAATTTCAATTGATTCTCTAAGTTTAAAAATACTCTCCACCAAATACATATCCATAATTAAATCAAAATTGACAAAAATAATTTCAATAAAAAACAATACAACCATCTCTAGTTTCACTGCATATGATTCAAAATCCAATACAAAATATGTCCCAAGCATTAAATTCAACGAATTCCATAAAAAGTCTTCCAACGAATAGAGTTTAATCGAAAAGATAGAAGAGTGAAGATACTTGAAAGAAAAGTTTTGGTATGATTATGACATGACTACTTTATAAGCAAACTAGCGAATGGTGGATTTTTTTTTTTTTACAAGATACTCTCGTTCTTTTTTCTTTTCTTTTCATTGGTTGTTTGATTTACTTTGTTCAAATTTTATAAAGTTAATCGAGAAAAAATTTTTATGTCATTAATTCTATTAGTTTCTAACAAAGATGGATAAAAAAGGTTAGATTGAACTTTCTTTAAAGTTTAAGGAGGCAATTAGAATAACAATTTTTTTTTTTTTTTTTTTGGGATAAATGAACACAATTTTACGTCATTAATTCTATTAGTTTCTAACAAAGATGGATAAAAAAAGGTTAGATTGAAATTTCTCTAACCTTATATTTTGCTTGGTTCACGAATAAAAATTGGAGGTTTAAGTGTTAAGGATATAAAAAAAATGATTGAAAAAAAAATATTAATGATGTGATTGGTATGTAAAAATTCTTTGTATTGATAAGGACCTAATTGCAAGGTGTTAATAAAAGAGAAGAAAAATGAATATTCAATTCGAAAAAAAAAATAAAGAATATGCACAAATCTCAAAACTTTCCCCTCAACAATTTTTTCACCCAGCCATTACTAGCTTAACGTTTAAGGTTTTTGTTTGGCATGTAGGGAAAAATTTGGAAGGAAAATGTCAAGAAAGTCAGATTTAAGAGTTACGTGTAAAAGATATAAAAAAGTGTTGAGAGTTTAATTGTCAAGGATGTTTTTTAAGGAATTGAAAATATAAGTGGTAATAGTGGATCCCATACAAGCGAAATAAAATTTAAATTAAATAAATTACAAAAAAACGTAAATAATATATTTTTGTGGTTTTAAATTTGAGATAAAAGTAAAACGAGATAAAAAAAAGTGGCAAATGAAAAAAAAGGCACAAAATTCAAAGTTTTTCTTCGTAGAAAAATCCTTTACTCCCCCATTTTTAAAAAATTTCTCCTCCTCCCAAAAGTGTACCAAGCATGAGGTGAAAATTACAAGTACAAATTTTCACCCCCTTTAACCTCATACCAAACATATTTTAAATATTATCCCTCCAAAGTTTCCCTAAATCCCTAAAAAACCTCTCAAATAAAATTAAGGGGGTTAAATGTAGTTAATACCATTTCTTTTTAACCGAAAACCAAATACAATATTAAGAATGACACAGATAGGAAAAGAGAATGAAAGTTACGAGGGGTTTTTTTTTTTTTACTCCACCACCCATTTTAAGCAACAAATATATTTTATTTAATTTTATATAATTATTTTTATTTTGAAATTTAATTTGGTTAATTTCTTTTAGATATTATCTATAATTTTTTTTTAATATTTTTAACACTTTATCATTCAATCTTAACCCCTAACATCCAAAGTTTTCATCCCATATCAAATGCATCCTTATCGCGAGGAATTGAAATTAATGTTTCTCCTCTTTATGTCACAAGTGGCTATGATTGATTGATGTTAGTCAAATTTGATAGGAATGGCACATCACGATTTATATCTTGAAGTCTTCTTTTCTATAAAAAGTACTATTTTAACGACAATAATTGAAGGATTTTGTGAGCTTCCTTACCTGTAGTCTAAGTAGATATTCAGTTAGTAGATCAAAAAAAATTAACAAACAAAAATGTTGCAAAGTATATTAACTTTCCAAAATTACATGATCTCACATGATTTATTAAGATACATAATAAATCATGGGATTTGTTGGACTAATTCAAAAAATTGATATGAGCAATTTAAGGGATTGTTTAATTTATTTTATAATAATATATTTAATTTATTTTTCTTTCTTAATGTATCATCCATTATAAATATAGATTATTTGTAATTTCTTCATATATCAATCAAACATAATCCAATATGTAGTTTCTTGTGAGTTTTGCATCTGTAAAGTAAACCACTATAGTCGAACCACGTTAATTCATTTGTTTTCAATCATTTATTCATTTTTTGCTATTTAAAATTTAAGAAGAAAAAAAGTAGTTATTCAATTAAAAACGAAAAACATATAAAGTTAAAAGATTAAGTCATCTGGACAATAAAAACAAAATCATAGTCGTTAAAGCACAAAACTAACTTTGAATTTTTTTTCCTGCTTGGCTACAAGTTAACAATAAAAACTAGTTTTTCAATTCCATGCCTAAGAAGAGGCAAATTAGAGTGTTATATATATATATCAAAGATACACTTAGAAGAAGCACAGTGTGAAGGAAAAATACTGAATGAATATAAATAACTCACAAAAAAATTTGTGAAACAAGACTAACAAGGATAGATAGAAAATAGAACCGTACAAGTATAAGTTATTGAAAAAAGAAATACCACATCAATATTTATTTCAGCTCGCCCAACTCATGGTTTTTTTTTTTTTTTTACAAGATTTTAAAATTTAAATTATTCAACAAATTTCAAAAAATAAACTACATGCATCCACCAAAAGAATTAAATTTTTCAGATAAAATTCAATTCAAGCAATCCTTTTGTTAAAACATTATTACTGTTTGGATAATAATAAATAAATATATTATTCTCATCATTTTTTAAAATAATTATCAATATATCCTTAATTACATGTTTCATCAAGTATCAATAACTATTATATAATAAATATTAATGAAGAATGTATTGATAATATTTTTTAAAAAATAATAAAAATAACAATCTAAACAGTGAATTTAATAATATAATTACCGACAAATTCTTTGCAATGCGTCAGCGTTATCAGTAGTGATAACTATTCAGTATCAAAATAATCTAATCACGAGATTTTTCATGTTACTTTTGTTGCAACTATATAAAAATATTATAGGCAAATGCATTCACCACGAGGGATATTGTAGCACTTTCAGGGAAACTACGGAGGGAGCATACGCAGACATGCACCATAGCAACCTTTCAAAATTGTGGAACGAGAGTACAAGGATGGATAGAAAATTGAACCATATAAGTTATTGGAAAAAGAAATACTACATCAATATTTATTTCAGCTCCCCCAACTCATGGTATTTTTTTTTTTACAAGATTTTAACATTTAAATTACTCAGCAAATTTCAAAAAATAAACTACATGCATCCATCAAAAGAATTAATTTTTTAAGATAAAATTCAATTCAAGCGATCCTTTTGTTAAAACACTATTACTATTTGGGTAATACAAAATTTATTAATTAAATTGTTATTATTATTATTTTTAAATAATTATAAATATAACTTTCATTATATTTTTCATCAATTATCAATAACTATTATATAATAAATATTGATGAAAGATGAATTAATAATTTTTTAAAAAAGAATAATAAAATTAATAATTCAAATGATAAATTGAACGGCATCATTTCTCTTTTTTTTATTCAAAGTAGCAATAAATGACAAATTCTTTGCAATGCGTCAATGTTATAAGTAAAGATAACTATTCAGTATCAAAATAAACTAATCACAAGATTTTTCATGTTACTTTTGTTGCTGACGAAAAAAATGTATTATTGGCAAATGCATTCACCACGAGGGATATTGTAGCACTTTCATGGAAACTACGGAGGCAGCATACGCAGACATGCACCATAGCAACCTTTTGCTCCCACCAAACAAAATCCTCAATAAAAATCACTACACGTGTGTTTTCTTTCGATACTCAGTGCAATATCAACAGCTACTAGCCTCAACTTTTTTTCCCTTTAATTGTTATGGATATTTTTAAATCGATTTGAGTATTAATTGAAAATACATTTTTTATTTAACGATTTTAAAGATATTTTTATGTTAACCAATTAATTATATTTTTTAATATTAACTTTAAGATTTAAATAATTAAAAAAAAAAACGATTGATAAAAGAAGCTAATCCTCTCAAACACCACCTACCGCTCCGTATATTTGTTTGGTAGTCTCAAACTCAAACAAGAAAGACCAAAATTCAGATGGGTAGGTCAAAATGTTCTTCTGAGTAATGAATTAAATACTATTTAATTACCATACAAATTAATGTCTTATTCATAATGATGAAGCCGCCTTCGTTTTCCGCCTTACTTTTCCTAATCCCGCTAATGAAGCAGCTTAATTTCTTTTCACCTTAGAAGATTTTTCGTGCCGTTTACGACACCTTTATTTTAAACTCTCTCTATGTATCTCTATTTGAATTTTTTTTTTTTTTTACTTTCAATATATTAATAATTATTTGATCCATGGTTAATGTTTGTGGCTTTCAGCCACCAAGCCGCCTCTCCTTTTTATATTAGACTCTCTACCTATTTACAGCTTCCCTTTCCTTTAGCCGCTCCTCCTCCTCTTCTTCTTTTTTTCTTTATAAGCACTGGTTTTCCCATGGAAAAGTTCCAAATGTTATTTCCTTTTTCCTCAACAGGATCATCAAACAACCCTGTCTCTTCAAGTATGACAAATACTTCTCATGTTTTTAATAATTTTCAAGCTGATGGTTCAAGTCATGGGTTCTTGGGATTGAAGACAGAAACTCAACAGCCGGTACCAAGAACGTCATCCGAAATTAATAAAGACCTTAGCTCTCAAAGTGCAAGCTTTGCAATCGGGCCTGAAACTGAGCCAAGAGCGGCCAAAAACAAAGGGGAGAAGAAGATTAGAAAGCCCAAATATGCTTTCCAAACAAGGAGTCAAGTTGATATACTTGATGATGGTTATCGGTGGAGGAAGTATGGTCAAAAGGCAGTGAAGAACAACAAATTTCCAAGGTACTATTGATTTCTCTAGCTATGTCTATTCTCTTTGATAATTTTCATCCTTTTTAACTGGTTTTTGCTATGACTCTGACTGTGCAAATAAAGTATCACTAGACCCCACTAGCCATTCTATTCTGCGGCTCCGAAAAGCAAGATCCTGCCGGATCTCCTACTAGATATGAGAAAGCGTTTAGGGAAAGTCTTCCTTTCAGATTAGGGTTATGGATGAGATACTTTGATACACGCATGCATGAATCCTTTTGCATTTAGGTGAGTATCCTCTCAGAGTCCTTAGAAGTGCAAATGTGCTGACATATTCTGATCCTTTTAACGATTAGCTAGTTTAGTTTAGGGTTTCTTTGTCGAGCCCGTTCTCCTTTTCTCTCTTATATAACATCCTTGTAAGTCGAAAGGAATTCAACCATCAAAATGAATTTTATGGGATTGAAGATTTCTTTTGTTCAAACCTACTTTCAAAAGATGTATGAATATTTCTTGAATATATATATATATATATAGGTAACTTCAGTAAAAGAATGCCCTCCTTTGGTGTGTCTCTACATGCATTGTATAGTGTGTCAAGAGAAAGATGTTTGTGCTATGGATCGAAAAAGAGTAAACCCCAGGAAGAGTTTTGATCAACAATCACAAACACTTATCAGATCTTGTACAATCAGTCCTTACCTAAACTTGAGATGAAACGCTTCCACATTGAAGTGTAAAAGACTTTAGCACCTTCAGCATAAGTTTTTTTTTTCATTGATTAGAAGATCACTTGGGTCTTGATTTGTATAATAGAGGCAATCCCTCTCCGCTACATAATAATCTAACTGATTGGAATCGCTAAAACTCAAACTTGCTATAGCTATAATTAACCTAGATCCAACCTCACGCCACTTATTTACTATCCACTCCAAACCGAAGTCCATACAAGTATCCTTTAATTACTGCATGATAGAGAGTAGCATAACCCATATTTTGAGACCTCGAAATCAACTTGAAGCTTTTTTTGTGCTGAGTGGATAAAGAGATATAAATCCATATGTTGGAGTCACGCCTAACATTTGACGGTTGAGGCTCGAAGATATTGTTTTATATTACTTTTTATCTTTAGGTATATTATTTGTTTCTTTCTTCTTCCTTTGGTTCTAATTGGGGAGTTGCACTATAAAAAAAAAAAAAAAAAAAAAGAAAGTAAATGACTCGATTACCTCTAATATCATGTTTTAAGTGTGAGCAGGATTTGATTTCAAGTGTCTATAGATCACACTAATCGACTTTACCAATCTAAATAACTGTGAGTTAAAGTAGAATAATCACATGCAAGCTTTAACTGTTGCAGTGGTGTTTTGTATATATATATATATATATACACACCCGTGTGTGATAGAAAATAAGTTGTACTAGATGATTCACAACACTATAAGCTAGAACTCTATTGTTCTGTTATCTTGTTCTAGTAGAAACCGTGTCCATTTCTTCTTCTCTTGGTCAAGCCGTGATTTGTTCTGATACTATACAACTCCATTTTGTCATACATGAAAATGAAATCATATCTAGAGTGATATTGACTTATTATTATAGAATATATACACGACTGTATGTAAGCTATGTATTTATTTTTAATTACATATGAGAGATTGGAACTAGAAATTTTTTACACTAGTATCAATTGAGTTACAACTCATTAATTAGCCATACATCATGTATTTAGGTATAATGAATGCACACATAAGCCTTATGATTTGAACTTTAAGGTATTAGAAAAATAAGAATAATGATGTATGTTAGAGAAAATATCTCACATTAAATAGTTAAATAAAAAATAATTAATATATAAAAATTGAGAAATGGTCAGCCACTACAAAAATTAAATTTTTTGGATAAAAATCAATTTCAACTATCTAATTTTATATGATATTAGAATTTAAAAAAGGTTCAATCATTAAATAAAGATTTATGAGTTCAAGCTATTTAATGATTCCAAAAAATAAAGCTGTAAGTGAAGAAAAGTATTAGAAAATATAGTTAAATTAAAGACGATTAATATATAAAATTGAGAAAATGTTAACTTTCATGTTACTCAAGTTTTTTGGATTTCTCTCTACTTTACTTCAATATTTAAGTTTTATTTTATCACTAATGAGAAGGCTTGAATCCCAAACTTTTTTGAAAGAGATTGGGATACAAGCGTCCGATGAGCTACATGCTCATTGGCTCAATATTTATTTTTCAATAATTCTCTATTTTAACATGATTTATTTGAGGAAGTGCACTGATTGTAATTTCTTTCTCATTTTCAGGAGCTATTATCGATGCACGTATCAAGGGTGCAATGTAAAGAAGCAAGTCCAACGCCTAACCAAAGACGAAGGAGTTGTAGTGACCACTTACGAAGGAATGCACAGCCATCCTATAGAGAAGCCAAATGATAATTTTGAACATATCTTGAGCCAGATGCAAATTTACACTCCCTTTTGAAGTGATCATCGAATAGGGACAAAATCATGTATGCTTTGTAACAAATGATAGATATATAGATATATTAAGTAGTAGTGTACTTTCCATATGCTAATAAGGTTGGATTCATATATATATATATATAAAGCAACAGCTGAAAAGCATACTTAGATCTTTTGGAAATATGTTCTTTGTTCGACGAATATATTGTAATCTGTAAGTTTCTTTACTTTCAGTTCTTTCTTGCACATTTGGTGGGATAGTATGACGAAAATTCAGCTAAGGTGGGCTCAACATCAATAAGAGTAGTAATCTCGTATAAATTTAGTTGTTAAAATTGAGTTTCATTTAGGAAAATTTAAATTTTGGAGTGGATGGTCAATCTGCATCTTTATATTGTTTTATATTTATTTGAAATAGGATATTCTATATAACTAAACGAAATGAACATTTCACTATTCACTAACTATAGTTCTAGATTCAATGCACTATGGATAATTTTTTTTTGTGATTTTTTAGATTTTGGTGAGTGAAAATTATATAAATTTTTACGATTTGATCCATGATATTTTTCAAATGAATATTTCGATTCACATCTTCGTTTGTTGATCCATTTTGGTCCTTGGGTATAGAGAGAAGGGAGAGAGGAAGAGAGAGACGAAAGGAGAGAGAGATCGCCGGCCAAGCTTATTTAGGCCACTCGGTCGGTGAAAATCCATTAAATTTTTTTATTTTCCGGAGATGAGTTTGTCCATGGTAGTTTCAAGCCATTAAACAATTAGAGGAGATACATCGGAGCCAAAAAAAAGAAAAAAAGTTTCGATTTGATTATGTATTTTTTAAAAAAAATTTTGTGTATATTAAAATGATTTTTAAGGTCTTAAATGTGTTTATTGTCTTTATTTCGAGTCATTTAGAGGTGTTTGAAAAAAAAATGATGTCGGAATTGAATTTCTAAGGGTCCGAAGCTTAACTTTTAATTTTTTGATAGAAGATTCGACAACTTCGAGTTTGTCAAAAGTTGAGGAGCGACCGCACTGGCCCGTGAGCTTGGCCGCATAGGCCAACTAGGCGTGACATTTTTCCTTTTTTTCTTTTTTGTTTCTTTCTATATATATATATATATATACACACACACACACACACATTTAAGCTAGCCAACGCCTTCCTCTTTTTCATTTTTCTCTCTCTCTCTCTCTCTCTCTCTCTCTCTCTCTCTCTCTATATATATATATATATATATATATATATATATATATATATATATATATATATATATATATGTTTTAGATATTTGACTCATGTTTTTAAACAAAAATTAATAATCGATTACAAGTTTTATTTGCTTTTTTATATATATTTATTCAGAATTTATCGAAATCAATTTTATTGTAATTTTTAGTTTAATCTGTTGACTTATATATATTTCATACAATTTAGATTTTTTTTTAATATATTTTTCTATTTATGTATGTGTGTGTGTGTATAATTAATTTTGTTAAAAATTAACTATATATTTGCATACATAATATCAATTATTTTTTTATATTTTTTATATATATTTTTAAATAAAATAAGTTAGATAATGTTTTGAAAGAGCTTGACAATTATTTAAACATAAAATTTTATGCAAATATTATTAAATATTTTGTTAATAAATATATATAAATCAAACGATTTTGCTCAATATATATATTCGATTTATATTAATCACTAGAAATAAAACTTCTACTCACTTTACTTCATATGAATTATTAATTCTTCATATGCAACGATTGTTTTACTACAGCGTAGCATGGGTATGGCTTTTTTTTCCTTCCTTTGTGTGTACACACACACGAGTCCTAGTAGGTGGAGTCGACCTTTTTCTTTCTTTTTTTTTTTTTGTTTTTTCTTTACACACACACGAAAGAGAGAGATAAAAGTATGTTTTAAATAATTTGAATTATTTTTTAAAAAAATTAATAATCAGCTAAAAGAATTCACAAGTTTTATTTTATTTTTTATATATATTTATTCGGAATTTATCGAAACCAATTTTATTTTAGTTTTTATTTTAATCTTTTGACTTCAATATATTTAACATAATTTAGGTGGTTTTTTATATATTTTTCTATTTATTTTATATACTTTGAATCGTTAAGTACGATATATATGTGTGTGTGTGTGTGTGTGTGTTATTAATTTTGTAAGAAATTAACTATATATCTGCATATATAATACCAATTATTTGTTATTTATTTTTTTATATTTTAAAATTTTTAAATAAAATAAGTTCGATAATGTTTCGAAAGAGTTTCTTAATTATTTAAATATAAATTTTTATGCTAATATTATTAAATATTTTTTTATTAAATATATATAAATCAAACGATTTGCTCAATATATAGATTCGATTTACATTAATCACCATAAATAAAACTTCTACTCGGACTACATCATACAAATCGTTAATTCTATGTATGCAACGTTTGTTTTACCATAACATAGCATCGATATCTAACTAGTGTTAACTAAATCTCCTCATCTTTTTTTTTATATGTAATTTAACCTAATAATGAAGGGGAAAAAAATAGAAAAGAAGAAAAATCAACTTGTTAGTTGCACAATTACAACAAAGGTCATTTATCTAGTGAGCATGAGGGGATTTTTTTTTTTAATAGGGACGGTACCTTGGAATATCATAGATGAGACATGGAAAATAAAAAAAGGGACAAATCGGTCTAACTAAATAAGAGGATAAGCAAGCTAAACCCCCGAAAAATTGTAAGAAAGGGTCTTGAAAGAATAATAACAACAACCTACAATAGTGTGAAAGAAACTGGAGCTAGAAGCTACCTAAAAGCAATCCCAATGGAAACTAAAATTGCAAATATCAAGGCCCTAGTAATCACAAACATCTTACCGAGTATAAGGAATTCATATGGGATTTTTCTTTTATTTATTTAATACAAAATCATTGTACGGATTTTTAATTATTACATAAAGTGACATACATAAATTAAATAAGTGATTATAGAGCATTAAGTATCTATATATTATTAAAAATAATGTTGAACACTATGCTTATATTAACAATTGGGTGGGAATATCTTTAGCATATTTTAACCTTTTTTTTTTTATACAAATGAAAATTTTAATATTAATATGGTATGCATGTAACTTTCTTTACATTTTACATTTCCATTTATATTTATTTATTTTTTAATATTGTTGTATGTCACTTTAAAGTTAATTACTAATTAATTTCTTATATATTTTATTAAAAAAAGATAGTAAGTAAAATAGTAAAGAATAAAAGTTTTAAATGAAATTGGAACAATTTAATATTGTAACTAACTATAAAAATGATAATAAAAAAAAATTGAAAATAGCAAAGGAAATTTTGAATAAAAAAAAAGGAGAAAGTAGTGTCGCTATCCAATATCGAACGAGACTCCCAAAAATTAAAAATTTAAATAGATTTATGAATTATTTATGATTTATGAGGATGTGAGTTATTATTGATTTTGGGAGTCACCACTTAATATTGTAGGAGCTAGAAAGCTAAAAATAGTACTGATCTAGATATTCTAGAATAAGGGGTTGGTTATGCTTATAGGAAGATATCGATTATCCAAAAGCATCCTTTCCTCGGAAAGGTACCATGTCTAGCTTAGTCTTAAAATTTATCTCCTAAGATATTTTATTTGTTCCAAATTATATTTGATTTAAGCTCTAAGTTTTTTTAAGGCCAAAGTAAGTTTTTTATCGTTTGTTTGTGGTATCATATTGAACCAATTGTTAGACCCCTTTATCGAGAGACAAGTCGGTGCAAACATTGAATCTATTTTTAAGTCTTAACATAATTGATATGTTATAGAACACCTTAATTTAAAATGATTTATTTTTTTAGCTAACAACAGTCTCTATTAGATAGAAGACTTTGTTAAAAAAGATTTGATATACTTTTTAATTTTTTTATGTATTTTCTTAATATTATTTTTTCTTTTTCTTTTTTTTTACCTAAGGATCTCTTTCTATTTTTTCTTACATTTTTCCTTGTTCTATTTTCTTTTCATTTTTTTCCTTTGCGTAAAGTTCTTCCTTCTTCCCATGTTTTATTTTTATTTTTATTATTGATTGTTGATGGGGAATCATTATTAGTCTTTAAAAATAAAGAGAATCAATAATTTGTTCATCAATTAATTTCCTAACCTAATTATTAGAATAGATTCTAAAATTAATGTTAACTAAGTAAATTCGAAGACATCCAAAAAAATTAAATATAAATTAATCTAGGAAATAAAAAAAAAAAAGCATTAAAAATTTTAGTTGGTTGTCGGCCCATAGGGCCAAGCCTATTAGGCTAACCCTTATTCCTTTACGCTTCGTGTTTTTTTTTTTGGTTTGGGCTTGGCTATTTTTTTGGGTCTTGCTTGGGTTAGGCTAAGCCCTAGCCTAATTCATTTTTGCAAATTGGATTGAGCCCAACTTTCCTTCTTCTTTTTTTTTTTTTCTTTTCTTCTTCTTCCTCAGCTCATCATCCTTCTATTTCTTATATTTCGAGGCAACACTACCGTAACTCCCTCTCCTTCCCCTCAACATGACCGCTTAGCTCACACTTGCCCAAAAATCATTTCCTCATGCTCCATGCTAGAGCTTACATAGTCATATCCAGAGATCCTCATAACATTCCCTCATAGTTTATAGATGGTTCCATAATGACAGTGACAAAGTCATTATCATCTTACTCCCTTTATCCAAGAGTAAAACTAAAGCATGCTAAGGTAGAAAAATGAAGGAAAAGGGTTGGAAATTACATGTTACTCTTGAGTGATGATGCAAGTTTGAATGAAGAAGAAGAATGAGCGATATATCCCAATCCAAGTTGTTTCCTTACTTCGATCCGGAGACAGTAGGTTTTAAGTTCTCATTTCCTATTTATCTTAGACTCCTACACTTCATCCTTGATATTGTATGATTTTTTTAGCTAAAAACTTTGAAACTTAAAATATTTCTAGGCTTTAAAATTTTTGATC